CCGAAAGACTCCACTCTCAGTCCGTTGGCTAGGCGCGAACCCTCGTGGTTTTTCATTCGGTCACTGGTGGGTCTCACACATTTATCTCCAAGCTTAGCTCCCCCCTGAAATGCCCACGCTCGGCAGAAAATTTATGTAATTAAAATGAAAGCTTCCAAAATATAAAAGCATCTCTCCATAGTAACAATCATTTGAATTATTATAATAATTAATTGGCAATTTATTTAAAACTATATTTTGCTTCTTAATAAATTACAAAATGTTAAATAAATAAAACATTAAATATAATTAAATAATTGAAATTTCTTATAACCAATAATTATAATTTATTTCTTTATAATTTTGATGTCAATGGAGATTAAAACCTGTTCTTTTTGATTATATTTTATCCTTAAAATTTGTTATACCCTTTTACTTTCTGCAGTTAAATATCTTGTTATCGAATTATAAGGGACTATAAAGAAGTAGTTATAACGAATGAAAGAAATTTTAAATATTAAGAGTTTAATTAAACTTCTTAGTTACTAAAATACTTTTTAAAGTAAACAATTCTCGAGAAAAGTCGTTACACTTGCATCTTACGTAAATTTTCTAAGAAACGAACGTGACTGATTTACGTATACGTCCTTCACACTTCCACGTATTTGAATTTAATAAAAAAATTGTTATTAAATTAAATAGAATTATAGAAGGAATAAGCGGTAATGTTTACAACACGTGAGCTGCGAGCGTACAGTTGAAAAGTCCATTATTTTAATTAGAAGAAAGGGAGAAGATGTTCGAATTAACGCGACCGTACTGTATTAACTGATAGAAANAATTTGCGATGTGCCAAATTTATTTATTGCAATATAATAAAAAAATTGTTATTAAATTAAAGGAGAAGAAAATTTAATAAGTATTTATAATAATAAAATGTCTAAATACTAATTAAATTTACGTTATTTATAATTTTAACTTAAAAGTAATAAAGGGAAGATGTTTAAATTCTTTGTTTACTCGTCTATGGCAACGAGATGCCTCCCGGGAGGACTTTCTATACGAAACTGGTTAAAAAACGTGAAGAAAACACGAAAAATTCCACGTATCAGGCCGTTTGGGAAGCGCGAACCTAAGATTAGTGTTTAGTGATTACATCCACTCGGCCACTGGTAGACTGCCAATGTTTTAAAATTGTATCGTATGTAAATTTTGTATAATTTACAATATATTAAAAAATTGATTGGGATAAGATGACATTCCGTACCCTTAAATTGATGTGAGATGAGTCAGAGAAGAGGAATGAGGCACAAATATAGGTCCCACGCCTCTCTGAAACGGAATAAAACAAATAAAAAAAGTACTTTTCTTAATTTATTTCGATAAATATTGATTTAAATCACTTTTATATTTTAGAGGCCCTTCTAGCACGCTACTACCCGAAATTTGATTCGTATACATATCATTTACATAACCTCGTTAAAATCTAAAATTAATACACCCTAATTCGGTTATGATTTCGTTTTTGTTATTTTATAGATACGCGCGCAAAAATAATAAATTGAAATTCTATTTTAACAATTTATTTTTAATACCTGAGCGATTTCGTGGCCAAATCAGTCACTTAATGAAAAATTCTTATTAATATTTATTAATATAATTCAGGAATTTTAATTATAGCACGCAACTTGCCTAAGATAATAATAATAAAGATAATAATAAAGATGCATAATATTTTTAGAGCGAAACGTTCATTGTTGAAATTATGTAATTTCTATTCAACTTTTTAGCCTTTTTAGTGCTAATTATAAGTGAAATTTTGGTCAAAATACCGTAAATTATAGGCCTATATATATATATATTTATACGCTTTTATACTGGGCGACCAAAAGTCAGTTAACCGTATTTTGTGTTTGCGAATATCAATTGTAAGCTTCTAAACACAGTTTACAATTGACACTCACTAATACACCTGTGCAGAATAACGTATTTTTTTTTTATTTTTTTCGAAAAAATGATGGAAATGTAATTAAAAGTACGATTCTACGCGAATAAAAGTAAATTGAATCTTGCAAAGGTTAACTGATTTTTGGGCCAACCTGTATACTTACTTTCTATTCGATTACAAAAGAATCATCTCTCACCAGTAACCGATTGGATAAAAATAAAACTACTGTGCACTGATCGTGGGTTCGCGCCTCTTCAACGGGCTTTTCCGGGTTTCTCACGTTTGTAACACCCGAATAGGGGCCAGTTTACCGTAGAGAAATCCTTCCCGGGGAGGGGACACGTGTCGCGTTGTCTCGTACAAACAAACACAAAACAATGTCGGTTAGAAAATCGTTTATAAACGATATAAGTTTGATAAAGTTTAAATATTATAAATTTAAAAAATATACTTGTACTTATTTTTAAATTGTCATTCATTATTCTTAATAATGTCATAATTAAATAGGAAGTTCATAAAAATTAGCATCATTTTTTGTAATAGGAAGTAACCGTACACCTCGGAAGGTATTTCTTTTCCCAAAAAGAATGTATCCATGCAAGAAAAATGACACAAATCGCAACAGTTTTTAAAGAATTGTTTGCTGTTTCTGTTTATGAATAAGATTTTAATATTCGCCATTTAAAAAACATGGTTTATCAAGCGAATAAGATTTCGGTAATAAAAATTCATTGCGCTTAATCTGACGTAATAAATTCATTTTCGAAGCGATGGAAGGTCAGAAGCGGAAATTATAGCAGAAAACTGAAATTATTATACAGTAAAACCTGTCTAAAACGTAAGGCGACAACACCGAGTTGAATTTTCCGTTTACGCCTGTTTTAGTTTTATGGCGAGTCCGTTTTAGGCAGGTTTTATTAGGCAAAGTAAAGTCCCATTTTTATGATCTAATTGGTTGTTGAAGCATTGTCGTATAGCGAGCCGTCCTACTTCCCATAAACTTAAGATTACTTTCCTGGAAATGGCATCTTTAACTATATAATAGCATATTGAGATATTGGATAATACAGTATTAAGATATTTAAATGTACATTTTAGAGAGCCATTGTGATTGAACTATGTAGATTCTATATAGCAATTTTTCATTGAAGCTGTATGATAAATAACTTTACTAAAAGTATGATTATTCAAAAGTACAGTACATACAGTTTTTATTATAGAAAAACAGAAGAAAAAATATTAATTCTTAAGCGTAAATCTCAATAAGGAATACAAAATAATAATGAACTGCACGATACATCTGTATTTCTCAGATTCACAACTGTATACCTACTTTTGAACCCCCCTTCTCTATATTTATAATTAAGTATAGAATCTTAATTTTGGAAATTAAATTTCTCTATCTAATTAATTGTTTCGTGATAATTTTGTAAAAGGGGGAACGTAGAACTGTAAAAGAAAAAGTATTATATAATTTGTGAATTGTCTCCCGAATTTCTTCCGTAAGCGTGAGATTTGGATTAATTTCTGCAAAAAAAAAGTACAGATGTATGAACAAATTCCGTTTTTTTTTATATCAAGGCCATATTACTTTCAAGATTTATTTGAAAGCTTTTAAATTTAGGACAATCGTTTTTATTGTTTACGCTATGAGATGCATAAAGTAAATCATTGTAAATAAACCGGTTTCTTACGTTATCTACTCCATCAAATTAATCTTGTTTGTAATATTTTAAAGTAATTTGCGATGTGCCAAATTTATTTATTGCAATATTTAAATAATCAATAGCTTATATTTTCATTTTAATAATTAAAATGACTTTCGTATCCTGTATTTTTCTATAAAATTAAATTTGCTTTTATACTATTGTATAAACAATTTGATAAACATTCTTTAAGTACAACGAAACCTGTCCAAAACGGAAAAAGTATTCGGTCCGATTTACACGGGATTTTACTGTATTATTAATACATTTATTACGGCGAAATAATAATAAAAAATTTCCAAAATTCTACAATTTTAAGTACTAAAAATACTTTAAAATCACTTAACGCTTTGTTGAATCCATTGTCCGGTGACAACTGTAAAATTTATCTAAATTTCAACAGAATTATCCTCTTGTTTTAAAACTAGAGAACAAAAAAAAAAGTCAATACATAATTCTTTTGTATTCTAAGTAATAAAATTGTAGCGTGTAAAATACCAAGTAAAATAATTACGTAAATAGCTGATGAGGCGGCAAAGGCGTACGTAAGTTCTGGGGATCCGGATTCGAATACAGCTTAGTAAGAAACTTTAGGGCTTCGGGCATTTTTCACAAAAAAATGCCCGAAGCCCTAAAGTTTCTTACTATCACACTCCTTATTGTTTCTCGTTACTAGGTATAATTTTTATCCGCTGCAATGCTAAGAAATTAAGAACTATGTATTCTAGGAGGAAGTATCACCAAAAAAAAAAAAAATCGAAAGCAAAAATGAAAGTTATTCTACGGGATGAAATATTTAAGAAAAATGTTAACAATTTTAAAATAAAACACTTAAACAATGTTACATTTTACTTTCTACCACGTAAATAAAAAATTAGAAATAATATTTTTGTATTTTACTTTTAAATTGTAAAATGTAGGGGGCGATCGTCTTCCCGACTGTTTTCGAATGAAAAAATATATAAAAATTATAATTATAACAATTATTATCAAATTAACGCTAATTAGCAACGTATTATTAATAAAATAATTTTAAAAATTAAACAATTTTACAAAAAATTTCAAATCTACAAATTATTTTACGGGGAAAAACTATAGAAATTTTTAATACGAGATAATTTCGTATTTTTTTTCTTAAAATAGTTAAACCGTTTATTTTTTAAACACTTTTCAAGACATTTATTTTTTTCATTATATAAATTAAATTAAATTAAATTACAGCTTTTAAAAACTACTAAACAGTATTTATACAAGTTTTTATTATTATTTTTTTTTAAGCAACCTTGTCCTTTTATTATCGATTATTATATATAAGTTGTATTATTAATAATTTTTGATTGTACGGTAATAAAACAGAGGGAAAAAAAGCTGTCGAGAGGATAAAGAAGATGATTTAAACAAGTAATTTATAATTCAAGGTCTCGAAAGTTTCACATAAAGATGGCAGCACTGCAATAAATAGAGTACGCATGTACCGTACGTAGCAGAGGCAGAGTCGTCTGCTTTAGAAGTAAACAGTGAGAAAAGGTACGAAGGTAATTATTTAATTTTCGTTTAGATTTACATAAATATTAAAAAATATAAAAATAAGATTATATTCGGGTTAATGAATATATTACAATTATTTAAATGACGTTTATATTAAGAGCGTGTATTAATACTTTAATTAATGTAATAATTATTAGGCCTAACATATATTATGAATAATTTGTTCTACATTTGGAATCAATTAATTAATGTAATTTAATTGACTTTTGCAGATTTTATTTTAAAATCGAATACACGTTGTTATGACAAGTCCAGCGAAATTAGAATATGAATAAAAGGTAAACCACTTGATTATAAAGTTTATTTCCAGTTCTGTACATCCAAATTCTTTATTTTTTTATCTTTATAAACAAATCCATTCACAGAATTCCATAATTTCGTAATTAACTTCTTTTCTTTGGATTGCGAAGTTATGGAATTTGAAGCTTTATAAACATGGTAAACGCCTTTTGTACAAAATATTCTGCATTCTATACACTGTATCCTGTAAAAACTGGACAAATACAACTTAATAACGTGTATATAATCCTTACAAGATTCAAAACTAAAACTATAAAAGTATAAGATAAAATTTATTCTTGTTTGAAATTTTGCGAAGTTATGGAATTTGGAGCTTCTTTAAACATGGTAAACTAAATTTACACACAATTAAAATTAGTTTTAAAAGTAAATTTTTTCTTTTGAAAGTATTAATAGAATTTAAACCGCACAAACAATATTTAAATGTTTTATTTCATTAATTATTCATGATAGGCTATATACATTTTATAATAAAATTATATATAGGTATTTGAGTTATATATTCGTACTTTATTATATATTACGGCCTATATAAATGGATTTATTATATTTTTGTTATAAAACTGTGAAAAGTCTGTATCTTATAACGAAGCACGAATTAGACTGATGCAGTATTCTATAATAAACTTTAAATAGGATTGTGTAAGTATTAATTTTAAAAAGTGGGATATTTTTTTATTGAATAACTAAAATTCCATTCAAATTAAGTTTTTCTTAAATTTCAAACTATTTTAAGAATCATATACAGGAAATTCTACTTGAAATTTTATTGTAAAAACAATTATTGTATTCATTTATGTAATGTATTTATAGAGCTTTTTCTCTAACCAATGAATTTTTGTTATTTTCAGATTGTTTATATTTTAACTTTTTTTTTTCTGAGATTAGAATAAAATACATATGGGAAACTTATGAAACAATAGGCTAATTAGGGCATATCCATAATTACTTTTTTTAATTCAGATTGAACTAAAAAAAATGTAATCGAGTCGAAATTCGCTTAAAAAGAAATTTAATAATTTAGGTCAGGAAACTAGTCTTTGATCATCATTAAATAATGAAGACATAAATTAAAAAGAATAATTATTAATTCATAATATTTATTGACAGGAGATAGAAAATATTTTCGAAAACATTTGTCTTACGTTGCTATTATTGCGAAACATTAACAAAGTTATTAACATGAAATCTCTGTAACATTAAATAAATCTATCGACACGCTGACCTTGTTTTCGTATGGTATTTTCTTTGATTTCCGCCCTTGACCATCAAAATCAAATCACGTAGCCTACAAACTGTTTGAAGGACAAGTAATACCTCTATTAAATAAAGATAAGCTGAAAGTTTTATTCTTTGAAAACATTGTATAATGAAAAAATTATTTAAATCATCTAAAATAAAATTGTTCCCTATTATTTATAGTACAGACAAGCGGGAGGTGATCTACACGCGCACAATAAACCCTAAATAATAAATTTAATTACGTAACTAATATATTCTTAGTTTACAATGTATACGCTTATTATTTCAGAGACTTAATAGTCATTAAATATTTTTTTCATGTAATTGTATTCATTGAAATTGCGTCATCCTAATATTCTGTATAACAAGGTAGTATCATCATGAATACGTTCTTTGTCTTCGATTCTTTTATGTTTTTATTTTAATCATTTCGCTGTTACAAAAATTGAACTTTTATATTTTAATTATTTATTTTATTAAATTAATACTTAAAGTAAATATTTTAAATTTCAATAAACACTGTAGTTGCGTAATTTTTTTAAATAATTTATTATATTTATTCTGTTACTAAATAGTCGTAAATAGAAGTATTAACAGACCTATATCGCAATATTATTGAATAGAAAAGATATATAAAAGGTTACTTTTATAGCCATTTCATCATTTTTTGGCATCCCGACTTTTAGGTCATGGTCGTTACATCTTACTTATTACAAATCTCTTATTAATTTTCTTCGTTTGACAGGAAAGCACCCCAGGCTATCTTCAAGTTATTCTTTTACTTCCTCTCTTTATTTTCATTAATTTATTTTAAAAAATCTTTTTATTCGCGTATAATACAAAAAAAAATTATTAACTACATCAAAGAACAATTCAAGTACGTATTAATTAAAATTTTATATGAATCATATTTCATAGATATAAGTTTAATAATTAAACTTTATATTTTGATTTTTGAATGTTTACAATTTTTACAACAGTTGGTGAGGAGAAATGTTATTATTGACGATATAATAAAATTAAAAACATACAAAATAAATCAGTTGTATTCAAGTTAATCTCATCAAAAATTCTTTAATAAAAATAAATAATTATACTTTATTTTCTTACATAAATTTAGAGAACCAAATGAATCAAAATACTATAAGCATTTTCCTATTATGAGCACTTTATTAAAATTAGCTCTAAGAAAAACATTTTAGAAGTTAGCGAGAAAAGTTTAATGTTAACTATTTTATTTCGTCATAATAATATTTGTTTTAAAGTCACGTGACAGACATCTTTGTAATGCTAAGTTTCTTCATTGTTATTCAAAACCCATTTGAATTCATATCAAGAAGATATGCAAAAAACAGAATTAGATGAAAGGTAACACAAGTTTCTGAGGCGACGACGTCCTTATCGCCTATATTTGATTATCGGTGCATAAGGACGAAAACTGGTATTCTACCATATGTAACTCTGTCTTGTATTTTCGGCATGTGTATTAAATCATTTTCAAACTCGAAGTTTCTTTTGTCAGGTATTACTATGTTTATTACAGTGAAACGAATCATGAACATGCACGACGAAGAAAAGTTAGTACATTTATATGATTAAATGAAAATTTCATTGAAATCAATTTAAAATTTTATGATTTATTATACTATCAGAATTCGGATCGTCTATAATATATATATATATATATAAAAGAATAAAGAATTAGATATAAAAGATGTAATCACAATAGTTGAAACCTTTACTCAAAATGAATTTTTAGTCCTATTATATTGTAAACAAAATTATAATATTCTGTTTTACACTTTCTCATTAAAATTTTATTAGATTCCTATAACCATTTTCTATTCTTTCTTGGATTAGCTTAAAACGTACAAAAATAATTTTTTAAACAATATATGAGATGAAGAGATAACTGCTTTTTTAAATATTCTTTGTCATTTAAAATAGCAGTTATCTCTTCATCTCATATATATATTCCTTTTATTTTGCTGCAAGCGCTTTTATAAGCTGATGTCTAATGTTAACCTAACAAAAGATCAAAAACATTTTTTATTAAAGATTTTATTGTTTATTATAAATCATGAAGCAGTATTATTTTATTTATAATTATTATGGAGTCTATAATTCAACATTATTTCAATGCATTAAGTGATAACATTCATATAAACACGAATTAAAATTGTAATTAATTTTATTATTATTGTTACAAAAAATGCCATACAATAGGAGAATTTCCAAGTGTTAATTCCAAGGTTATTTCACACATATTTAGATTTTAATATAAATTTAGCATTAAATTAATAGCATCTGCTGTAACTTTAAAAAATTTTATTTTACAAATATATAAGTATTGAAACTAAGTGTTTCTAAAAACTTCATATTTCAGTTTTATTATAAATTCAACGAAGGAGGGATTTCCTGCTTAAAGTGAATATTATTACAAATTGTGAATAAATGAAACGTTTTTCAAAAAATTATTTAAACAAGTAAGTAAAATCTGTCTTGGTGTTATCAGCAATTAAGTGTATCAGATTTTTCTGATTAAGATTAAACCTAGATAATAATTAGATATATAAGCAATAATTTATTTGTTAAAGGGAAAAACATTAAGAATTACAACTGAATTTTGTACTTAAATAAATAATGCGATGTCGATAATAGTTAAGCATTTGTATTGTTCTAACTAATTCTTCCTAATCAGCGGCTACTGAAAACAGGTCATCAAATTCTCCTCAGGTTTGTTGAAAGAAAATGGTTTGTTTCCCATGTAGATAACAAACAAAAAGCAAAGATCTAACCGCACGAGTCAAGGCAATCTTCCTCGTTTGTATAACGAATCTTTCTAGCTATCTCATTGTTTATTTTCTTTAAAAAATGCTCTTCTTTTTTAGGCATGAATTTTTAAGAGTGTTCTAAATGTTTGGATTTTAAGATAAGTTAGTCAATCATGTAATTTGAATTGTAATATTGTAATTATGAAGGCACAAACTTTCAGTTAAAATAATTCAACCCCTAATTCAACCTTAATAATCATTCATATTTAGGGATTAAGATCGAGACAATACATTATTAAACTTTACTTTATTGATAAGATATATTTGTTTTTTGTATTCATTAAGTGATCTTAGTTCTACATACTTTCATAAAGTTCTGAAAATAAAAATAACTCTTAAATCATAAATTTTATTTGAGCCAAAAATTATATTTATCATAGGAAAATAGTGTAACAAATCACACTTTAAATTTGTGTAAATTAATTTTTGGTGTATTAAGTTGTTAAAAATTTATTAGTGTGTAAAATTTGTTTATTTCTATAGATTTTACTGTTCTCACTCCAAATAAATTATCTGATTTTGAAAATTAAAGAATTTGAAACTACAGGAAGACATGCAGGATATACTTTGAACTGTGTCGCATTGTCAAACAGACGTTAACCATGACCGCAATAATAATAACAGATTGATGAGTAAATTATTCGACATCTGCTATTCGTTTGTTTACTCATATATTCAGGATTACTGATAATTCTATAAAACAATAATAAATAGCTGTAAATAGAATAAAAAACACTCTCTTAGACTGCAAAGTATTTATCACAATTTCTATTTAGCAAGGTTAATTTAAATTGTTTTTAAATTCAAGATTTCTAATTGGTAAAAAAAAAAAGCTTATGCATATAAGACAAAACAATCTTTTTCCATACGTCAAATTGCTGCAAGGTCGTCGTTTCTACGATCAGGTATGCATTCAGACATTGTTGGACTTTCCTAGAGTAAAGAACCGCGATCGTGATACTATTGGGTTATCCCTTGATCTCTAATTGCACGCCGATCCGGTTATAGTTACTTAAAAAAATTAAATGCTTAATTTATTATATATGGAATAACCATTTTTATTTTTATAAATAATTTTAATGCTTTTGTGAAAGCGTTGTCTGTTTTTTTTTTTTTTTAATATTTTCGAAATTAAAATTCAAGTCGTATTTTCATCGATTTATTTTAGATACTTATAATTGGGTTTTCCATTATACGAAAGACATTGGATTTTATTGTAGCTTACATTCTCAAATGGTAATTGAAAATAGGAAAAATATATAAAATTTTTAAAATAGAATTTTGATTTTAATTAATGAATATTTCAGTTCTTGTAAATTTATATCCGATAAAATAGCTTTTATAACTTTACTGTTACATTGTATTTTTAAAATATATAAGGAAATATTATGTTACTAAGTAACATTAATGAGTTTTAAATAGCTTTACACTAAACAGAAAGAGAAAATAATTTACTTAATTTATACGGAAATAAAATTTACTAATTGTATTTAAATTATACAACAGGTGTTAATTATTTATGTACATATATAATCACAAATATATACTACTATATATTTCTTAATCACAATATACATTTACTGTAATTTACTGCTATTATTTTTTAGTAAATTAGTTTTTTTGAAAGGCCGTTTATTCAAATTTTAATAATACATACATAATATATCAGGATAACAACAATTATTATGAATAAGTATTATATCAGATGTACAGAATATTTATGATGCAACAAAACCGATTAAAATTCAAATAATACAATAAATTTACCTAAAATTTTTCTTTTATTTCTTTATTTCACTGTACACGAATAAAATCTATTATTAATTTTTATTACCTAATTAGTAGTAACGTTTAAAAAATGTTTTGATTATTTTTCTTTTATAATCATCAAAATAAATATAGCCTATTGTACTGTAGTTTATTTGCAATTTTAAATAAATGAGTTGGTTAGTGATTTTTGAAGTCATACGCAAAACTAAAATTATATTTGAAAATATTTGGATCATACAATAAATTACTTGATCTCATGCCCATGAATTCGTAATTCATCGGCAAGAGATTAAGTAATTTATTGAATACGATTGTTTAGAAAACTTAAATCTTATTTGATCTTTATCTTCATCTATTGATTAAATTAATGTTCATTAATAAATAAGCTGTACTGACAATCAAAATCGCTTAATCTATTGATTTGCATTTTATTTTTATAAAGAGCAGATATTGTTCTCTCTATATGCAAAATTTCATTGGCAAAGGCTCATTCATTTAGGAGATATTAGCAGAAATTCAGCCCTGTGAGTTGAAAGCGCTGATTTTAAAGTTCGTTTAATGAAAACGAACTTTAAAATCAGCGCTTTCAACTCATGTTCAAATCATTGTTTAAAAGCGATTTTCACAAAACTAAAAGCTTTAATTAATTTAATTTGCACAATAAGCAAAAATGTCAATGAATCCTCGTAATATCATAAAATTACTGATCATTGTTGTTAATTAATAAACCACTAACATAAATATTTACTGTTACATATTCATTATTTTTTATTGCTCTTAACTCCTGTATGAAAGAGTCTTTGCCTATGAAATTTTGCATATAGAGAGAATAATACTTCTTATAAAAATAAAATATAAATCAGTAGATTAGGACCTGGACTGAGTCGTGATTTTGATTGTAAGACACAATACACCAGTTGAATTTTTAACAAAAGTATTATTTACGTATCAATATATATATTCTTAGAAGATATAGTTTAAAATTTTATTTTATTTTAAATTATTGTCATTTTGTTATAAACTCGAAATTTTGCTAGTTTTGAATTACCTTTTTATTCAAAATTTTCTGAATTTTTTCTTTTACAAACTAGAGTTCGATTATTTTAAATATGATAATAAAATTTTAACGTAAATTGTATAATTGATATTAGCATTAAATTAGAATTTCTTATTATAAATTTGAATATTTTATTTTTCTCTGATTGCGTGAATAATTTCGAGATAAAAACACTGAATGAACTTAATTTGTAGAAGAATCTCATTTGTTTGCAGTGTTCCAATTGAATTATCATCATAAAAATACAATTTGATCATCCTTTCTTCAAATTCTTCTGCTTTAGTGAATTATCTACAATGTGCATATTATCTATAAAACAAACATTTTTACGCTTCAACGTTCTAAAAGTCTCCATCTCAGGAATCATGCTTGGTTTCTCTCCGTAAAAAAGTTCATATTTTCTTTCGATTAGTATTTATTCAACAGAAAGAGTGTTGGTCCAACAGTAAATTTTAATTTTAAATTTTTACTATATTTATTAATAGAATATATCTTTATTTTACTTTTATCCTAAATCTTACGTTGTTAATAAATCTTGAAATAAAAGTAGTAAATAAACTTTGTCAATGTTTGTAAGTAAACGCTGTAATCAAATTTAAAAAATTAAAATCTTAACCGAGTAGGAAATAATTTATATATATAGCCTGTATACATATTTGTATGTGTATGTCTGTAACAAATTAATAAACACTCAAACATACTTTTATTCTTAAAACAATATTTTTCTTTTACTTTAAAATTAATACAATTAAAAAAAAACATTTCGAACGACAACAAGAACAAAAGAGAACGTGTTTTATAAAAAACATTCGAATAAAAACAAAAATTTTAAATCATTTTCTGTAGTAGTAACTACAATTACATTATATTACATTTGATAAATTAAGGAGGGTAATGTCTTCCCAATTTCGAAATGTGATAAATAGCAGAATCATGCTGTAGGAAGTGTAGGATATAAGATATACTGTATTTCGACAAGTTATTTATAATTCTGGACGATCCAATCATTATTTGTTCAAATTTTCGTCGAACTGCATTTTTATTTTAGGTTAATACTAGATTTTTTTTTTAAATTCACTTTTAGAATGGAGAAGTCGTAATATTTTTTTATTTTGTTTATGGGAACGTATTGTATTATTCATTGCAAATTTTCTTTCAGTTTCTAAATTGGAAGAGACCAATGAATGGGATAGTGGTATACAATATAAAAGAAATTCAGGACTAAATTTTGTTATATTCTTCAATGACTTTATCTAGCAGTTTTAGCCAGCATGCATTTTGAGGATTCTCATATTGGGCTGCTATTTGAAAAAATTGGAAACCTATGAATTCCCACTGTCTGTCTGTCTTTCCTTAATCTCGAGAGCGGTGTTAAATAAATGAAATTTTGAGACTAGATATGGAAAGGTTAGGGGCAGGAGGTTTCTATTAACTGTATTAACTTTTAGATAAAGACTCCAAATAAATTAAGTAAAATGGTCTATGGCGACAGATATACACTGTTTTTTTTATAGTCTGTTTTTTTCATTAAATCCTCCTATTGTATCTACAGCGATGATATCAAATGGTCTTATGGCCTGGTCCAATCATGATGATAATTCTCCTAACTCTAATAATCAATTAATTTTATTTTTCTGACATATAATACATTGTTGCATTAGAGTAACAATACCTTCAGTTATTTTAGCCAATAGCAAATATAAGATATTAATGACTCCAATCTTGTTGTGCCTAAATGTCCAAATTTATGATGTTTCATTTTAAAGTTTTAAACTTAAACTTCTCGGAATGTAGGTCTTGTGAACTATTTTTAATTATCAGACTA